CTGCTAAACATCAGCATGCTAGCATTGTCATTATGAGCATTTTGGCATGCTGATATTAGAATTTAGCTCAAAGTGTGCCAGTTCATGGTCCTCAGAGGGTGAAGCTTACTGACTTTGGTGATCCCTTTTCTCTAGGGCCACCGTGAGGTTGACATTAGTTAGAGGGGTTAAGGTTAGCCATAAAATGTGATACAGATGGCCCCCTTTTTGGATGAATTGCAACAACTTGGTAATCCTTTAACTTTCTATATAACACCATCATCAAGTCAAAATTTGCACTTTATGACAAAACACCTGCAAAATAAATAACCTCAACCTCAGCTGTACTTTGGTACAAACTAGCAATGTTAGCATGCAGACACATTTAAACTAAGATGGTGAATATAGAAAACAACATACCTGCTTAACAACAACATGTTAGCATCGTCCTTGTTGTTGTATTGCATATCACTTACCCCAGTTTTTGCATGTCTGCATTTAAATATTTTTGCACATCATTGCTTCACTCACTGCCATGAATGAAAATTATTTTTGTTTGTCTGTATTACTTTGTTATTACACTGAAAAATATTTTTTATGGACAGAAATGATTGGTCTGGTTTGTCACTTCTGTCACCTTTTTCATTAAAAAAGTTCACCAAACAAAAACTTTTAGTGAAGTCTGTTAGCATGTTATCATTTGAATCTTGTGCCCTCAAATTTCCATAGCAAACTGTAAATATAAACAGGAAAATACATAAGCTATGCACTCTCACAGGTTGCATTATCAAGCAACAGCTCAAGGGGTTGCAAGATAAATATGTGTGTGTAAATAAGTGACGGTAAGATGAATAAAGGGAAACAGATTTCTGCTGCACCAAATTAGGTTTATTATTAAAATTGTATTTAAATGAAACAAAAGAAAGGAGAACTGAATTTATTTTAATGGGCTCTAAGCCAAAAACTTTGGTTGCTATAGACTGGGAGTTCATGCTATGCAGATTTTAGCCACCAGAGAGCAGTATAGTTTTGATTACATAAACAGATGCGAAATTATAAAATTGGATTATGCTTTTCAGGTCCTGTAATCCAGCAGCACTTTAAACCTGAACTGCTGAACGTCTGACCACCTTTCTGTGTGATTGGATTTTATCATATCTGATAACCATTTTGATTGACTGTCTCATCACCGCCGTCGCAATTGTCTGGTTCCATCACACTCAACTGGACACACTCACACAGGCTGAGGTGTAATGTAGGCCACAGCAGTGTCGGATTACCGTGGAGGTAGTTGTAATTTGGAGAGAATATCGGAGAGTGAAGATTCATAATATAAAGACAGAGCAGGATTAAACCTAACGGGTCAGACTGATACAAAGCTCCACTTTCCTCTCAGTCATTCAGTAGATTCAGTAGATTATCTCTCTCTCTCTCTCTCATTTTGTCCCCCTCTGTATTCATCTACAGTATTTCTCATCTTATCATTTTTGCTGTGCAGTAATAATTTTTCTCTTTGAACTTAGCGGGCAAACAAAAACATCCTCAGCGAACTCAAAGTTACAAAAACAAAAAAATAAAGGACAAAAAGTGAAACGTGTCATTTAAAGTTAGCTCATATATAATTAAAGTGGAAGCTCTAACCTTTAATTCAGCAGCACTTCAATTGGCAGCTCTTAAAAAAGTAACTGTCATTTTTAAAATTTTGTTATGTCTGCTGTATATTTGGTTACAATATGTCTAATGTACAGTTTGGTGGCTATGCGAAAATGATTGATCCATTAAATTTAATGGTTTAAATTTGGATACATATAACAGCTTCTTTCTACGTTGGGGAGATCAAAATAAAATATTAACTTCTTTAAATTTGTGTACAGTCCGTAAATGAGGGAGTAATTGGAGTGGATGGAGGGGCTAGAAAATCCAGGGGGCAAGTTTAACAAAGTCATATGAGTCAACTGAATAGTCTTAATATTTCTTGGTGTGATTCATAAAATCTCTGTGAAGCGACATTAATGGAATGATATAGATGTAGTAAAGATGAGTGGTACTGACGTTCAACTACAGAAAAGAAAAAACACAAAGCAGGATAAAGATAATGAAACAGCAGAACAGTGAGAACATTGACAACATAAGATGTTGAAAACGATAAAGCCAGAGAGATTATATAAAGCGCAGTGAAAAACAGTTGGTACGGATGAGAGATAAGGAAAGAATGAAAGAGAGAGCTTTTGGAGGGACTGGTGGTAAGTATTGCTTTTAAAAGGTTTAATGCACTGCTACAGTACTTATAGTTGACAGATGCTGACGAGAGAATTAAAACGCATTGCATGTCAGTTATTTTCTGATTTGTACTGAAGTGTGCCCTGCATCCACAAAAAATTATGAATTGGCATTTGTAAAAATTTAAAATAAAAACTCATACGCATAAAAAAAGTTGTGTCAATGCAAATTAAATCAAAGAGATCAAACATCAGCAGCATTTCTAAAAATAGAGGAAGAAGCGCTCACTTACTGTTTGTTTTCTCTTATGACTAGTGTGAATCATTAACTGGTTCATACTTTACATTTTATCAGTAGAAAGTTATTTATAATTAAAGTGCTTTAATTAATGATTTTGACTGTTAAATGGAGGTAAACTTGTTAGTATAAAATGACACTTGCAGGCACTGATATAAAAGCACTTAAAACTGGACAAAGTAATAAATACACTTCTTGTTGTCATATTATACTTACCCCTGGGCTCCAAGGTAGGACCAGGATTTTTTTTTTTGCTTCAAGTCTGTGAAGAAATTCTAGTACAAAGTGTGTTCCTTGCTGTCAGATAGAGGTGGGCGAGGTTCAATTCCAAAATATTTGAAATATTTGAGGGAAGACTCTCTTTGTGAGCAGCTGCATGCAGGAATACTGTTCTGCTTTGTTACACCACATGAAGCAGCATGTGAATTTGTTTGCTGCTGTTACTTAAGGCTGTTTTAAAGGAAGTGGGAGTGAACTTGGTTAGTAAATTTAACCCTGAATCAAACAGTCACACAGTAGTTAGGTTTTTTAGTACACTTGTGACCTAAATAACTCTGATGACCATTTGTATGACATGTTAACATTGACACCTTTTCGTGTAATATATTTGTGTGCTGCCTAGAGGTGATAAGATAACTTTCCACTGTGATACTCGTTTCTCCTTTCCTGAGCTCAAGGCCGAGATGATTTGCTAACATACGTTACTATGTGTAGGGAGTACATGTTAGGCAATCATGTTAGCGTCACTATGTCTTTTTTAGTACAAATGAATAAAGAAAAAACAGACGACCCCTTGACTCTCTAGTGATGCGTTGCTGCAGCTGCACAGCTCACACAGGCAGTGTGTCCAGGGCTTAACTTGTTCACTATAACAGAAACTGTAACACTATGTCAGTGTCAATGTAAAGTTTACTAAAGATATCAGCACTTTGTACAACTTGTAGATTTCTACATATTGGTAGATTTGATCTATTGACTATTCAGTTCATGAATTAATGGAGCATTCGACGAATTGAGAGGAAAATAATATTTACTCTAGAAAAAACACTGTAGCTGTAGCCACAAGTGTCAATTAGGGCATGGTAACACAAACGAGTTAGAGAAGAGTCATAAAGTGATCGAACTGACTCAGTAATGTCCCTCACACTGCAATAACTATCCACAGTTGGAAGTTATTTAGCAAGCACTAAACTACAAATTCATGAATTTGTTTCTGATTTGTTCTTCAGTGAATAGTCACACACACACACACACAAAGCATCTGAAATAAACACTAGTAAATGCAGAGCAGCAGTGCTGTTACGCAGTGTTACTATATTAAAAACCACAGCTTACATGAATTTGCAGAAATATTTCCCCTCATCCTGACCCTTGTTGTCCAATCTTGCTCCATGTCCAGACATGTTTCAAAACAACACCCTTGCAGACATTCAAGCGCAAGTTTAAACAGAAAAAAATGCCTTTGGTTTATTATGTTAAGAAACATTTTCTGTGTTGTCAATGTTGTTAATTGCTAGAAACAGCTGAAGAGTGGCAGGAAGGGGGGACATGCAGCAAGGGGCAACAGTTCAGATTTGCACATTGGGCCACTGTAGCAGGGCTTGGCTCTACCAGGTGAACTATTTGGGCGCCCCTTATTTATCATTATTCTTGATACCTACTTAGCTCAGCTCTTGCTCTGCTGAGCACTTCCCTCCCCTTCTTTGGTTTCTTTTTTCTTTTTCTTTTCTTTTAGAAAGTCCTTTTTTAGACTCAGCTGTGCTGCAGGACAAGGTCTCTCAGCTGAGTGTTCCTGACTGCACCAGCCATCAGTATCGGTTCCCCTCAAGGATGTGTCCTTTTCCGTTTACACTTCCCCCTGTACTCCAACAGTTACACCTCTAGTCATTAGACCATTAAGCTCCTGAAGTTTGCATCTGCCACCACCCTCATCTCTGCTGGGGATAAGTCCAAATACATGTGGGAGACTGACCATTTGGTGACCTGCTGTGGACACAACAACTTAGAGCTCATTGCCTAAGGACAGCCACTTGCCAAAAACTCCAACCCTAACCCAACCCCAACGAGACAAACTGCAATCTTTCTCTCGAGTGCAAAACTAAGACTCTAAGCTCTCTCTGAAATGCACCGTCTCTCAAGAACTCACACATACAAACATGTAACCAGCAGTGCCGCCGACAATCATACCCTCAAATATTACTACAGTCTGTCCATTACAGAGAGAAGCATTAGCATACAGTAGAGAATATAGCCAAGCTATGTGATCCAAAAGAAAGTGAGATTTACATAGACACATACACATACAGATTTACAGCCTTCCTTTCTTGGATGTTAAATAACAGAAACTGAAGGTGAAACTCTTCACCAACTGCCTAACCAAATCCATTGAATTTAGTACGGTGGTCATCATTCGCTGGCAAGTACTGGGTACTTCTTGATAATAAACATGATTCTGTTTTTGTGGGTCCTCTTGTGGGGATCCTTTGCCAGACATTTCCAAAAATCGACACAATCCTATTTTTATCATAGGTCTATTCAGGAGGATCCTTTGGCTGAAAGTGAATACAAAATGTATAATAACCTGAATAAAGAAAGAGTTGTGTTTTTGTTACCTTAGAATGAGCCTTTTCTATCTACACGTTACAGGTCGCCTTCCATGGAGTCCCCCATGATAAACCACCATGTTTCTACAGTAGCCCAGAAGGGACAAACCAAACATTGGCTCTAGATAGCAGTGTTGAGTTTTTCACGTATTTCGCAGCCACCACGTTTCTCCTTCACGCATGGAAGGGAAGGGTGAGATGAGGGAGATTCAATGGAATCTATGGAATAGATACCACTAAATCCTACTCACTGAGCCTTTCACTTCCATTTAGCTGTAACTGTTCCTGCCCCACCTATTTTAGGAAGAGTAATGCAATTTTACACTAAATCAGAAACTTCTCAGAGTGACGTCCATGGTATGAAATACCATTGGCCGTGATATGTGTGGTATGGTATGTGTAGGAAGTGTACTGTGTGTGCTTACACATGCACTGCACAGGCCCATATGGTAAATGTAACAATGGGAAGCACTATAAAGTGCAGAGGATTGAGGACAAGCCTTCATCAGCATCGCAGCAACAGAGGAGATCAGAGAGACATGAGGAAATAAATAACGGATTATTGGAGATGTCACATACATGGACAGAAAATGATGTCCAGCTCAAATAAGACAAGATGTGCGTTCAACTGTCAAAAAAAAAATATTTTTTTATTTTTTCAATCAATAAAAAAGGTTTTCTTTTTTGATAGAGGCCAAGTTACCCAGAGTAGAGGTGGATAGAAGCAGGGAGATGAAAAAGTGAGTGATGGATGTAGATACAGGCAGAGGGATGAAAGAGGGAGAGAGAGGGATGAGAGAAGGAGGAGCAATAACATAGGAGATATGCCTCAGATTATCAACCAGTGTCAGATGCTCTAGAGACAGATAAAGAGGAGGAGTGGACAAGAGCGTGACAGGAGGAGAGACGAACAAGGACGTCTCTGTGCATGCAAGCTGAGCTGCAAAGATGACCGACACGAAAAGCGTATCATCCGTGGAAGTGCCAGAGGGGAAGTTAATGAAGAAGGTCAGTGGATGTACATGCCAAAATATGAGTTTGCAGGGTCCTAAATCCTGACAAGCCCAGCGTGATATACTGTGGTGACCCACAGGCCTGGCTGGCATGGACTCATTGTTGAATTGTTTACAACTTTCAAACTGAATTATTTGTTATTTTTTATTTATTCAAACATAATACCTTTTTAGAGAAATACTATGTGTGTAAGAAAGTAGTACTGAGAATTTCAATCAATTACATCGTTTTTCTGAAACTGACTTCTCTGAGTAAGGACAATAAAAAGGTTATATTCTAAATGTTATCTGTGTGAATGCAATAACACCTAAAGTAGGTGTGTGTCAACCTTTTTATCGGATTCCTTTCTTTCTAGGAATTTGGGTGCGTTTAATCTTGAAGCTTGTGTTAAATATAGTTCATTCATTTATTCATTCATTCATAATCTGCTGCATCTCTCACTCGGTTCTCTTTCTGTGGCTATTCAGTTTTCTGTATGTTGTATTTAGAACAAAATTCTCACTTCAACCTCTTTGTTTATCCTCCAGGGATCCATCAAGAAGAAGATTGAGTCACTGAGGCGATGGAGTTCAGCTAGTATAAAGAGGCCTCCAAAGCCTAAGACCAAGACCTTGAGTCTGTCTTCCCCTGTGGGAGACCCCGAAGAACTCTGGCTGCAAGAGGGATGCAGGAGAAAGCTGCGACCCATTGTCGACTCAGTCTTCGGACAGGTAGGATACTGAACTGGGCATTACATCTACCCCCAGTGTCTCTGTCTGAGTGCACATCTAAAAATGAGATGTCTGACTGACACACGTACACTATTTTGGAAATTACATTTTCCTTCTGAATGCTGTCTTAGAAATATATATATACAACAAACCCAGCTAGACAAACTGCTCTTCAATTAATGAATGAATGAACGTACAGCCTGAGTCTCTGAAGAGAAAAAGAGAGTGACTCACTGCTACTGTGAGTTTAAATAGCAATGAGCAGGTAAAGAGTGCAAACATGTGTTTGGCCTGTGAAAAGGACTCTTTATGTAAGCTTTATGTAAAGGTACCTTGTAGTTTGTGTCCACTACAAGTGATATGGTGCAATGTTTTGATGAGTGGGTCCCTGTTTTATCTCGTATGCACACACGCAGATACACATGCAAGCATACAGGTGACACTATACACAGTCCTGCAAAACTCCAACCTAGTCGATGTGGATGTTAACAATGCAGGTTTCATAATATTAAACACAGAAGCTTTGCAAATCTTTTATGAGGAAGGAAATGCAATAAACATGTTTGTTATGTAAGAATACACACCTAGACACAATTTCCTTCAGCATTTGTTTATGAGAAAACTCCACAGGTCTCCTTTAAATTTTTGGGTTAAAATATAAAAGAAAAATACAAACCAGGTGAGAAATTTAAAGACTTTTTCTTGCATCTTTGCATGAAATTAGCGTATGGTACCCCTGAATATGAGAATCTACGAATTAAAATTCCATGAAATAGTGTAGTTTTCTTTACTTTTGTACGTTTTTTATAAATAAGAATATGTATGCTCTTAACCGGTTAATCCAGAATGATTTATAGCACAGTATTACACAGATATTACAAGCAAGCAGCAATGAGGAGTGCAGGAAAATTAACCATTATGTTCTGACAATTATTAATTTGACCCTAGTGTGATCTAGAGGGACACAAACGAAGGATTTTTTTTTTCATTTCCAGTCAAGATTACTTTAAGAGCAACAAGATAAAGACATAATTAGATTTCTCATGGACTGACAGTACAATCACCTGATAGAGACAGACCACTGACTAGACCATGAACACATAGACACAAGCTGAATAAAACAGTGAAAGACAGTGTGTCAGAAAGAAAGAAAGTTAATTCTAAATGTCAGAAAACTGAGTGGTCACAGTGATACATGCAGAAAGAGAAGTCACTCTGAGTACATCATCAGAGTCTCTGCCTCTCTGACTGATTTCACCCTCTCACCTATGACTTCCTATAGAACATGAAAGCATATTTTATGGGAACATTTTAGTGCATTCAAAAATGCAAATCTGACAGAATGTGAAACAGATCTGAAAAGTTTGAAATGTTTAGCTTCAGAAACTATGAGTTTTGATGACAAGTCAATAATTATAATTGGAAGTTGGGCACTGATGACTTTATGTACTGTGTTTGCAGCATCTTATGTGAATCAGCATTAGGATGCATAATGTTCTTTAATGCTGACCACCTGGTGCTTGTGTGTCTTTGTACAGGAGAACAAACACACAGGTGTGTTAAATGTACAAATGAATGTATTCAGATAGAATCACGTAGTTCAGCTTTGCCTGCACAACAGCCTGAAGGGAAGGAGTGTTGTGGGTTTTTAAATTGAGATTTAAGTTCTCACGAAACAACACTTCTTGTTCTCTTGTTCAGCAACCGTTCCTAACTCAGCCCAGACTTTGTGTTTACATCGCCACTTGTGGCTATGAACTTCCCAGACAGGTTTGTGGTTTTAATGGAGCAAAGACAAAAGATTCTGTTTTTCATTTACAGATTGACTGAAGGGTTGGACTGGGAACAGAATTAGCATAGCCAGGGCTAGCACTAGCAGTATAACCTGCTATAACCATCGTCATTAGGGATGAACAAATCCACCGTTTTTTGTATCTGTATCTGTTCAACCAACTTAATTATCTCTATCTGTATCTGTACTCAGAATGGCCAGGGCTTAAACTGGACTAACAACCCTGAAACTGATATGGGTTGATCAGAAGTTGCTTTATTTTTTAGAAAAACAATGTTTTTGATCATTATAGTAAAAGAACAATTTACAGAACAGGTTTTAGTTGCTATATTTATGGCTTAATAGAAAACAGATATTAACACATTTTACTTTTTCAGTCCTTTATTAATTTTCATTTTTGTTTTTGATTTGTGCTCCACTCTTTGTATTGATTTCATTTGGTTATTTCCTCTTTAACCCCTGACATAACATGGATGAACAGATCCACTTGAAGGGGGAGCGGGAGGTGAGGATAGTCTATACCACTTCCTGCACCAGTCTTACAGTATAGGCAGCCTGTTGACAATTTTGGGACTGTGTAACCCGGGTGGTGGCCTTGCAGCCCACTAGGTGGTCCAGCCCATCTGGCAATATCCAGAATTGCCAGATTGCCAGTCCGGGCCTGAGCATGGTGTCTTTTTTTAGCCTTTCCAATAACAGTGTAATAAAATGAATTCATGTTTATCTCTTCTGACAAAAACTGTAATCAGTAGCATATCAACATAACTGGCTTGCAGTAACTGAGTGCTATTTCTGAGCCCAACAACATATCATTAGGGAACTACATTAGGATGTAGGGTTAGCCCACAGATTACATTAAAGAACAACCCTGTTCATGACTCGCCCACTTACTGTGTAGTATTTCCTCACTGTCTGGTACCGGATCCTGGGTGCTAAAAACTTTTTCTCTTCCAAAAAAGTCAGAAAGCAAAGTGAAATATCATTCTGATGTTACATTTTTTCATACACTTATCATACTATTTACCTGGTACAAAGCTTCCCAGTCTTTTAGCATGACATCATGTATGTAGCTGTCAACTGACCCCTTTACAAGATTCTCAGTGTGTAGGATTTAGTGGCATCTAGTTTCAGCTTGCAGCTAACTGACCACTGCTGGCATCTGTATTTGATGCCCTGGGGCTGTAAAGTGAAGGAGAAACTACAGTGGCTGCAAAACTCATGAAAAACGCGAAAGGCCCTATCTACAGCCAGTGTTTGGCTTGTCCTTTCTGGGCTACTGTCGAAACATGGCGGCTCAGCATGGCGGACTCCATGGAAGGTGACCTGTAAATTAAAACGGCTCATTCTAAGGTAACGAAAAGATATTGATTATTATCGTCAGGTGATTATACACATAATAAAAACATACATATGAGTATTATATTCCATTTCTCTCAATAGATCCTCCTGAATGTTACGCACTGGACCTTTAAATAAAAAGTCTGAGAAGAATGTTTTCAACCAGCTTATGCAGCTGACTTTACCTTAATTATCTAGCTGATACATTCTTCCAGCAAAATCAACAGTTGTCAGCTAGACATGAGAACCCTGCTTTCATAAATCAAGAATTCATTGTTTAAAAAAATACAGAGAAATTTCAGTGGTATATCTGACATCATTATCATTTTAAACTGAGAAACTGAGAACAGAAAGCATGACTTTCATGACTTAACGAATGGGTTTCACTGTTGGCTGTTTGTTTACAATCACATTGATGAAGGGTCCACTGAGAAGAAAGGGATCGCGGTCCTGCTGTGTTTCTTGTGTTCTGTTCTTTTTTCACCCTCTAGTTCTCATTGTTCAGATGAGTCATCCATACACTCAGCAACAGATGGAGTGAATGATGAGAATCTGAAGGGATGGAGGGAGGGCCGGGATGAGTGCTGGGGAGTCATAAAGAAAGAGAGAAGAGATTGATTGCGGCGAAAAGGGAGATTAGAGCTTAAACGAATAAGAGGACAAGACAGTCGGTTCAATCACTTATACGACATCACTCAAACTACAGGGAGTACACTCGAGGCACAGGGTGCGTTTCTATGAACTCTGACACATTTCTTTGACAGATGCAGCACATCAGACAGTAAATTAATGGTTCAGTCAGAATCCGTGAGAGATTTAAAGTTAAAACTCACAGTGACCTGCGTGCTAATCCAACTTTAATTACTCTGCTTAATTTCTAACTATTAAATGCGGAACATGGCTCATAAATCAGCTTATTCACAGGAGCAGGTTATTTACTGAGTGGGCAAATTAAACATCTGCATTATAACATAGTTTAACATGAGGACAATAAATTATTGCAACCAATCATATTTGACTGTATGTATGAACATGCTGTTACTGTTAACTCAGTATCTTCACATATATTTTCCATGATATAAACTACGTTGTCTTATTTTCTCTACTTTTCCATCTATGATTCCTCATCTTTCTTGTGTATGTGTGTTCATAAAGTTTTATAACTTCTGGCAGTCATTCTGTGAATGGTCAACTAATGCACAGTAGTTGTATAGACTGAAGATGTGTCAGTATATCAAAACTGGTCAACATCTTTTAAATGAGATATGGCTTTACTTATACCTTTTTGTCCAAATTTAGGTGATGAACAGATGCGTCCTTTGCAGCTCTCAGTACCACATAATCCAATCCATAATGCTGGTGAATTTATTTAAAGAAGCTTGACAAGCAAATAAAATATATTACTGTATATAGCAACAAGTCCCTGGAATTAAACAATAAAATACATCGCTTGTCCATTCCCTCTAGAACGACAGATAAAAGTGTTTTCTGATCTGACTTATCAGCAGGACAACATCATTAGTCTGCTTTAAAACAAGACAAGAGTGTTGGTGGAGGCGTATTTTCTAAGCTACCGCCAAGACAATGAAACACAATCCAAGAAGTCCAGTTTGAGTGACAAATCCATGAGTTTGTAGGCAAAACACAGCATGCCAGTTTATAATACTCAGGGACAGTATTATAAAACCATTGAACTCTTATCACAGATTATTCAGATATTTATTAATTTCTTAGATAAGCTAGTAAAGCGATGTGAATCCCCCATTAACATTAGAAAGGAATGTGCAGTTGCACGTATTTGATTGTGCAAAGCAGTATCTTGCTCTGGTGATGCAGCATTGCAGTCCAATGACCCTGCATTTCTTCTGCT